GAAGAAGAAGAAGAGATTGGATTTGTACCCTGCCCTTCACTACCCGAAGGAGTCTCAGAGCGGCTTACAGACTCCTTTCCCTTCCCCTCCCCACAACAGACACCCTGTGAGGTAGGCGGGGCCGAGAGAGCTCTCTCAAGGACTGCCCTTAAGAGAACAGCTCTGAGAGAACTTGTGACTGGGCCAAGGTCACGCCAGCAGGTGCATGTGGAGGAGTGTGCAATCAAACTTGGTTCTCCCAGATTAGAGTCCGCGCTCTTAACCACTACACCAAACTGGCAAGACAATAGTCTTAAGAATAATGGACATGGCATTCGATAAAAAAAACCCAGCCAATGGATTCCCTGATCAGTATTCCAAAGCCTACTGAAGACATACTCAGGCAGAGCGCTTAGGGGGGCCTCTGTGGAGTGAACTTTATTGGCTCACTCACATCCGGCAGGAAGGATCACTAGCCACTGGCAGACAAGTTGACAAGACTCCCCACAGCAGGCACCCTGGGGAGGTGGGTGGGGCTGAGAGAGCTCTTGACAGAAACTGCTCTTTTTCAAGAATAGCTGTGCCAGAGTTATGGCTTGCCCAAGGTCATCCAGCCAGGTGCAAGCAGAGGAGTGGGGAATCAAACCCGGTTCTCCCAGATTAGAGTCCGCGCACTTAACCACTACACCAGGAAGTCCAGGGTCGCTACGCAGAGGCAGGCGATGGGAAACCACCGCTGAATGTCTCTTGCCTTGGAAACCCTATTGAGGTTGCTGTAAGTCGGCTGCAGTTTGATGGCAAAAAAGAAAGAAAAGAGCGAGCCAAACATTTGCTTAAGGAGCATTCCTTTCAACATCTTGCTTAGCCAGCTAAGATATCTCACCTTAGATGGTACACACAGATCTATTCTGGTAGTGTTGTTGCTCTCCTCAGACACAAGGGACTTTACCCTGACTTGGGGCCCTGTTGGAAGCTTTTCACCTCTTCAAGCATCTTGCATCAGAGAGAAACTCTTTGCGCTGGAGGAAAACACTGCTGTTAATGGAACAGATTGGCGGCTCCAACCCCCTGGCCCTCTTCCTGATAATAACATAAGAGAAGCCAATGTTGGATCAGGCCAGTGGCCCATCCAGTCCAACACTCTGTCTCACACAGTGGCCAAAACCCAGGTGCCCTCAGGAGGTCCACCAGTGGGGACAGAATTCCAGAAGCCTGTCCACACTTTTGCCCCACCCCCAAGCACCAAGATTACAGAGCACCACTGCCCCAGACATAAGAACATAACAGAAGCCATGTTGGATCAGGCCAGTGGCCCACCCAGCCCAACACTCTCTGTCACACAGTGGCCAAAATCCATGGGCCATCAGGAGGTCCACCAGCAGAGCCAGAACTCCAGAAGCCCTCCCACTGTTGCCCCCCCCAAGCACCAAGATTACAGAGCATCACTTGCCCCAGAATGGAGAGTTCCTATCTATACCTTGTGGCTCATAGCCACCGATGGACCTCTGCTCCCTATGTGTATCCAATTCCCTCTTGAAGCCATCCATGCTTGTAGCCGCCACTTCCTGTGGCAGTGAATTCCACGTGTTCATTCCTCTTTGGGTGAAGAAGGGCTTCCTTTTATCTATTCTGAGCCGACTGCTCATTAATTTAATTGAGTGCCCACAAGTTCTCATATCGTGAGAAAGGGAGCAAAGGACTTCTTCCTCCGCTTCTTTATCCCGTGCCATTAGAGTATTTCAGAAGTTCTGTACCTAATATGAATAAGACAGATAATGGTCTGTGTGTGAGCTGAAAGGAGCAGCACTGCCCGTTTTCTGAAGCTCCCAATTAGCCCTCGATAGGTGGACTGAGGAGCTGCGATGACTCAAGTGGTTAAGATGCCACAGGAAGTGGTGGCAGCGTGAAGAAGGGCTTCCTTTTATCTATTCTGAGCCGACTGCTCATTAATTTAATTGAGTGCCCACAAGTTCTCATATCGTGAGAAAGGGAGCAAAGGACTTCTTCCTCCGCTTCTTTATCCCGTGCCATTAGAGTATTTCAGAAGTTCTGTACCTAATATAAATAAGACAGATCATGGTCTGTGTGTGTTCATGTGCCCTCCTTTCAGCCACAAAGGTGAGCTGAAAGGAGCAGCACTGCCCGTTTTCTGAAGCTCCCAATTAGCCCTCGATAGGTGGACTGAGGAGCTGCGGTGGCTCAAGTGGTTAAGACGCTGAACTGCAGGCTGTGGAAGGTCAGTAGTTTGAGACCCGGGTGCCGCATGATGGAGTGAGCTCCCGTCTCTAGTTCCAGCTCCTGCCAACCTATCAATTTGAAAGCAAGAAATTGCAAGTAGATAAATAGGTACCACTTTGGTGGGAAGGTAACAGTGTTCCGTGCGCCTTGGTGTTTAGTCATGCCAGCCACATGACCACGGAAATGTCTTCGGACAGCGCTCTTCAGCTTTGAAACAGAGATGAGCACCGCAACCCTAGAGTCGGATTCGACTGGCTTTCGAGCAGGGGAACCTTTACAAGGAGCTACTGGACTCGAATGCCGCTCGTCCAGGAATGGATCTGTTAGTAATTCACCCCGATACTTTGGACTTACAGAACAGTCTCCGGAGCAGTTCCAAGAACTGCATAGAAGTGAAAACGTTTTGTCTGAATGGCTCCTCTTGTGCGGCTGATCTTGTGAACCACCAGTATCAGAAGTCAGATCAGGCTTAAGGATCACCGACGAGCAGGGTTCTTTTGGTAGAAAAAGCCCAGCAGGGACTCATTAGCATAATAGGCCACACCCAACAGCAGAAACTCATTAGCATATTAGGCCATGCCCCTGACAGCACAGCTCATTAGCACATTAGGCTGCACCCCCATGTTACCAGAAGTGTGGTCATCCAGCCACACCCACCTTTTGCTTGTTATTCTGTTTACCTTGTTTGTTGTCAAAACCCAGAGCCTTTTTTTGTAGCAGGAACTCCTTTGCATGTTAGGCCACACACCCCTAATGTAGCCAATCCTAATGAGTTTCTGCTGTTGGGTGTGGCCTATTATGCTAATGAGTTCCTGCTGGGCGTGGCCAACTTGGGAGCTAGCCGGAACTCCATTCCTATGCGTTTCTGCCCAAAAATAGCCCTGCCGATGAGTGTGGTGCATGGAGGGCTCACCTGGACAAAATGTTTTCACTCGCTTGCCTCCACGTTCCTCGGAATCTCATTTTTGATGGACACAGAGCTGGGTCGTCTGTGGTTCGTTTGGTTCCCCGCCTTTGCGATTCCCAACAACCGTCACCGTTCCTCGTTATAGCACAGTACGGCAGACAGTATAACCGTCCGTGGGCACTGGATAGCTTCCTTGCCGTCCCCTGCCTTAAGGAAGCATACTTCTCCAGCATTGGGTGGCATTACAAAGCACTAAAGCTGAAAGTAAGGGCAGAATCGCCTTGAGTATTTTCCTCGTCATCAGGGACAGAATTTGGCATAAAGCATCAGGAGGTATCGTTCCTCGGCATGCAGGCCTAGAGATGTGTGGAAGGCTTCCTTTCTCTGCAGAGAGAAAGAGCCGGTAGTCAGGAGCTCAAGGTGAAAGGGGTATCATTTGGGAAAGACCCCTGCAGTGTTTTCTCATCACTCTTGCTTTGCACCACTGTTGGCAGTCACCAGTCGGAACAGAAAGAGTTCAGTTGGTTCAAAGATGCATAAACATACCTCTGTGTTTGCATCTCTTTCGGGTTTACTGGCTTTCTCTCCCCTCTCGAGTTTTGGTCAGTTTGGTGTAGTGGTTAGGAGTGCAGAGTCAAATCTGAGAAATGGGTTTTGATTCCCCACTCCTTCACACGCAGCAGCTGGTGTGACCTTGAGTCAGTCACAAGTTCTCTCAGAGCTGTTCTCTCAAGAGCAGTCCTCAAAAGAGCTCTCCCAGCAGCCCCCCCCCACCTCACAGGGTGTCTGTTGTGGGGAGGGGAAGAGAAAGGAGATTGTAAGCCACTCTGAGACTCCTTCGGGTAGTGGAGGGCGGGGTATAAATCTAATATCGTCATCTTCTTGCTCCTCTTCTTCTTCTTCTCTCAGAGCTGTTCTCTCAAGAGCAGTCCTTGAAAGAGCTCTCTCAGCAGCCCCACCAACCTCACAGGGTGTCTGTTGTGGGGAGGGGAAGAGAAAGGAGAACTGTTCTGAGACTCCTTTGGGTAGTGAAGGACGGGGTATAAATCCAATCTATTCTTCTCTTCTTCCTTCTTGGTAGCAACTTCTACCTCCTGCCCTCCTCTGAGAGTCAGTTTGGTGTAGTGGTTAAGTGCGTGGACTCTAATCTGGGAGAACCGGGTTTGATTCCCCACTCCTCCACTTGCAGCTGCTGGATGACCTTGGGCCAGTCACAAGTTCTCTATGAGCTGTTCTCTCATGAGCAGTCCTTGAAAGAGCTCTCTCTATACCAGAGCAGCCGTTTTCTCCAGGGGAACTGATCTCTAGTCTGGAGATAGGTTGTAATAGCGGGAGAGGTAGGTGCAGTGGTTAGGAGCGCGGACTGCAATCTGGAAGAACCGAGTTTGATTCCCCACTCCTCCACATGCAGCTGCTGGTGTGACCTTAGGTCAGTCACAAGTTCTCTCAGAGCTGTTCTCTCAGGGGCAGTTTCTGTCAGAGCTCTCTCAGCCACACCCACCTCACAGGGTGTCTGTTGTGGGGAGGGGAAGGGAAAGGAGATTGTAAGCCACTCTGAGACTCCTTCGGGTAGTGAAGGGCGGGGCATAAATCCAATCTCCTCCTCCTCTTCTTCTTCGCTGCCCAGCTGTAGCCGTTAATGTACAGTGGATTTGTCTGCATCTTTAATACGATACCGTTTTCCACTTGTCTTCACGTTCGGTCCAGGTAGTCAAGAAGAAGGTGCCGCCAAGGTGTCAGACTCCAAACTGGAGTGACCCTTTCCGTTGTTTCCTCCTGGCCGGGGTTGGAGGGGGAGAACGTCTTAGAATCGGAGCCGGTTCTTCATGCAGTCGCCCTCAAAAAAGTTCTCCATTCCCTTTTCTTAAACACACAGGTCCTTTCGGGGTCAATCACGGCGTGGAGCTCCACTCCGACGTCATCGAGTACGCCAAGCAAAAACTGGACTTCTTCATCAGAACGAGCGACAGCTTTGACAAGTAAGACCGGAGGGGTGTGTGTGTGTGTGTGTCTGACTCAGTGTTCCCTCTAAGCTGAGTCAGTGTGAGCTAGCTCACCGTTTTCTTTAGCCTCCGGCTCACGCATTTTTGTCCTAGCTCAGAGAGGACGGCTCCAGAGCCAACTGATTGACGCAGCGGCCAAATCGCTCGCTCACAAAGTCAAATTTTTGCTCACAAGACTCCGCAGCTTAGAGGGAGCATTGGTCTGACTTCCATCATTCGGGATGATCATTCCTGGTCGTAACGCTCAACGTCGGCAAAACAGAGAGGCGGACAAGTAGGCAAAGAGGAGTTGAGGATCGCCCCCTCCCCCCGGCCCGGTGTGCTCTGATGTGGCTGTCGAGCTCATGTCAGACGGTTGCTTCTATTTTTACTCCTGTGACTGTGACGCACCTGTGGTTCCTGAATCGGGGAGTGGAAAGCAGCTAGGAGTGGAAGATTTACGCCGTATGAAACGAAGACTTGTTCTCAGGCCCGGAGCCAGGGTTTTGTGCCTTGTGGGGGGAAAATATTTCTGTTGGGGCTGCCATTATTTGTCATAATAAGGGGGGGGGCATGCGCCCCCTCCCTCCCCTCCTGCAAGATTTAAAGGGCCCTCCGGCTGATCAGTGGTCCACGGGCTCCCTCCCTGTTGTCTGAAGACCAGTTGTAATAGCAGGAGATCTCCAGGTGCTACCTGGAGGTTGGCAATCAGATCTGCAGGGGCTGGGGGGGGGGCAACCTAGCAAGCATAGCAAAGCTTCTCCCGTGAGAACAGGTGGCATCTCCAAACTCACTTTTGTGCCATTTTTCCTAGCGGTTACCGTTTGCTTCATCTTTTGATTTCCTTTTTCTTTTACTTGTAAATAACCATAGGGTCTGGAATAAAATTGAATTATTTGCATTCGATGGAAACCTTCCCTAACGTTTTGAAATGGTCACAATATTTTTTTTTTAATTCGCTTTCGTTGTCCCGCCATAATAATTAACTTGCTTACGTAAGTGGCTTCTAGACGAAACTGATTAAGAGTCTCTCTTTGTTCTACACAGAGTTAATGTTTTAGGAGTACTTTCCATGGAGATAGATCAGGATGGGTCGCCGTGTTAGTCACTGTAGCCGTAGAAAAGAGCAAAGTGTCCAGTAGCACCTTAAAGACTCACAGAATTTGTGGCAGGGGAGGCGCTTTCGTGAGTCCCTGCTCACTTCTTCAGATACAGCTAGAACGTGAGTCCATTTGTCCTTCTATCTTGGAAACTGGAGTGATTTCAGATGCCGGATGCCATTAGCAGACAAATGACATTTGCCGCAAATTTTGTCTGTGTTCAAGATACTCCTGTACTCTTGCTCTTTTCTACTGCTGGACGTGCTTGTTTGACTGTATTTGACTGGTCAATTTGTCAAGACTTTTTTGACAAAAGCAGGTAACCCAGTCCTAGACAGTGTTCCCTCTAAGCTGAGTTAGTGTGAGCTAGATCACAGTTTTTTAGCCTCTGGCTCACACATTTTTGTCTTAGCTCAGGAAGAATGGCCCCAACGCAAACTAATTTATGCAGTAGCCAAATCTCTTGCTCACAACGCAATAATCCATGCATATCCACACTGGTGAAACATCTCTTCCAAACACACCTTGGAACTGTACCACTTGGAGAAGGGAAAGCAGTATATCTCTTGGCTAGAGCACATGCTCTGGTCAGCTAGGCGGGGAGGGGGTTGCATGGAATCAGTGCTTGACATTTCCACTTGAAGGGATCTTGGAGAGCTTTTGCCAGTCAGAATCTCAGATACAAGTCCCTTTTTACATGCATGGGACATGTTCATTCTTTAGCGTACATTTTTAAAATGTACATATTTTAATGAATATTTTAAATTTAATTTTAATGAGAGCCAGCATGGTGTAGCAGTTAAGAGTGTCCGACTAGTATCTGGGAGACCCAGGTTTGGATTTTGGATCCCTACTCGTGCCATGGAAGCTCACTGGGTGAGCCAGTTTGGTGTAGTGGTTAAGTGCGTGGACTCTAATCTAGGAGAACCGGGTTTGATTCCCCACTCCTCCACTTGCACCTGCTGGATGACCTTGGACAAGCCATAGTTCTGGCACAGCTGTTCTTGAAAAAAAGCAGTTTCTGTCAGAGCTGTCTCAGCCCCACCTACCTCACAGGGTGCCTGTTGTGGGGAGGGGAAGGGAAAGGAGTTTGTAAGCCGCTCAGAGACTCCCTTGGGTAGTGAAGGGCGGGGGATAAATCCAATCTCCTCCTCCTCCTCCTCTTCTTCTTAGGCAAGTTGCACTCTCTCAGCCTGATCTACCTCTCAGGGTTGTTGCGAGGAGAGAGACGTAAGCCACCTTGGGAGCAGTGTTCCCCCTAAGCTGAGTCAGTGTGAGCTAGCTCACAGTTTTTTAGCCTCCGGCTCACACATTTTTGCCTCAGCTCAGGAAGGACGGCTCCAGCGCAAACTCATTTATGCAGGAGCCAAATCGCTCACTCACAAACTTTAATGCCAGTGGCTCACAGAGTAGAGTTTTTGCTCACAACTCCACAGCTTAGAGGGAGCATTGCTTGGAACCGTATTGGGAAGAAAGGTGGGATATAAATTAATTAAAGACATGAATAAATCCTCAGTTCTCTTGGAACACTGCGTTTGCTAAATTTCTCTTGGGAGAGCCATGTTCTGGAGCGTGCCCATCTTCCAGGACTGTAATATTCAGGCTTGAGCCTTTTGAAATATCAAATTAGACTTCGCAGGACCCACATATGTACGTTCGCCTGCCTCAAAGTCAAGGGGTTTGGTGCCTTGGCTCTTGAATCTATTTTATACACAAAGGAAGGAGGAGGGAGGAGGAGGAGGAGATTGGATTTATATCCCGCCCTTCACTACCCAAAGGTGTCTCAGAGCGGCTTACAAACTCCTTTCCCTTCCCCTCCCCACAACAGACACCCTGTGAGGTAGGTGGGGCTGAGAGAGCTCTTGACAGAAACTGCTCTTTTTCAAGAACAGCTGCGCCAGAACAACAGCTTGCCCAAGGTCATCCAGCCAGGTGCAAGCGGAGGAGTGGGGAATCAAACCCGGTTCTCCCAGATTAGAGTCCGCGCACTTACCCACTACACCAAACTGGTCTGGTCGAGTCCTCATGCCATGTAGAAGTTTTTCTCGCAGCCATCCTTCTCTCTTCTCAGGTTCGAGTTCTGCGAGCCCTCCTTCATCTCCGGCAACTGTTTGGAGCTCTCCCCTGAGTGCACCCAGTACGACCGTGTTTACTGCGGTGCCGGCGTCCAGAAGGAACACGAAGATTACATGAAGAGCTTGCTGAAAGTCGGCGGCATCCTGGTCATGCCGTTGGAGGAAAAGGTTCGTGGGGGGGGACAGGTCCCTTGCCCGGGATTCTCAGTGTGCCGCTTTTGGAATCGAAAGTCAGCGTGATGTAACAGGGTTGCCGTGAGGATAAGACAGAGACGAGTGAGACCATATAAGCTGCTTCAGGTTCCCGTTGGGGAGATTTTTTTTATTTTTAAATTATTTTTATTAAAATTTTCAACTGTTTAACAGAGCAATACAAACATTGTCAACTCGGTGAGCTACATTAAGAAAAGCATTCTTTTAAAAAAAAAAAACCAGTTCAATAATACTTTTTAATGTGCCCTTATACTATTTAGTTGAGCAGTGCTAATTACGTAGATATTTGCCCTCGGGAGGCAATTCCAAGGAAAGGACTGAGCTGACTAAGAGCCGATCTTTGACTATGAAAATAATATTAACTGCTTTTTAACTTTATATCGAGAAGTCATTTCTCTCTTTAAAAAGTGACAATTTTTCTGACGGCTTGTACAGATCCCTCTCGTTGCGGCTCTCGTCGAAGAAGACCGTACATTTCTCTAGTAAAAAATAATCCCAGACTAGGGCATACCAAGAGGCGGTTGTGGGAGGTTTGGTTTCTTTCCAGGAACAAGCAATTGTGGCTTTGACTGCTGTCAATAGTATACTATTCGGATCACGTCCTAGCCAGAAAGCTGGGGAGGGAAGGGACTTAACCCCGAAACCTGGGATCCAGAACCTAAAAAGGTAAATCAAACAGAATTGAGGGCCAACAATAGAAACTTAGTATGAAAAGATACATGTATTTATTAACAAAGAATTAAAAAGCGTGTAAGGGCCCAATCACACCTCACGTAAAAATGCCAAAATCTACCACACAAGGGCCAATGGACTTGACCTGACGCATTTCGGCCTGTGTAGGCCTTCTTCAGAGGTCAAACACAATGAGGAGCATATTGGCTTACATCATAATACAGTACAATCATACAGTTTATGCAACATAGATACAAGATGGACCAGAAAAGAATTGTTCCAAAGTGAAACCCACCAGGCACAGAATAAAAGTATCAATGAGGCCTCCAAAGGTGCAGTCACATGCCAAATGATATTTCACTGATACTCATTTCTGGTCCAGAAAGTGCCTTCCAAAGGTCGTTTAGCCAAAGCGTCCTCAGTAAAATTGTCCTTAAGCAAAGAGCTTTTCATACTATATAATTAAGTTTTTATTGTCGGCCTTCTGTTCTGTTTGACTTACCTTTTTAGGTTCTAGCCAGAAAGCTTGCAGGGGACTTCTTCCTCCCCAGTCAGATAGTAATTTCAGGAGAGAACAGAAGATGGGGGAAGGAAAGAGTCAGGGAAACTCTCATGGTTAAGCGCAGCTCTGCTTGTGCTAGACAAGATCCACAAGCGGAGGACGAGCAAGTTATGGTGAGAAGCCAACAGAATTAGAATGCAAAGAACACACGCAGATGGCTGACGGTATGGCGTATGAATCATGTGCGTATATGTTGTGTATTTATGTTTCATTAGAGACAGAGTTGTTCCAACATGCTGTCTGTCTGCCGCATTCTGAACTTCCGCGCTCGGAGCGTGTTGAGGAAATGGAATGTGATGTTTGGGGGAGGGGGGGTTGCAATGCACTGAAGACCAGAACTATGGGGAAGGGGCCGCAGGTTCCTTCTGTAGCCTACCTGTGCCATGGCAAGCCATGTCGGCGGCAGCTGCCCTTTTCCCTTTTCCTTGTTTGAGTGGGGAAAGACTTGAGACTGTGCCTAGAACAGACACTTGTTTCCCCTAGGGGGCTCTGTCTTTGGAAAAAAGATTGCGTTCCTTTCTTGCTGCCGCATTGGAAAGACCTTTTCTCTGTCGGTCTGATCAGTTCCATATTTTTGGCTATTTGCCTCACGGCTCTTTGGATTTTTCCTCAGTTATTTACCTTTTTTGTGTTACCTCTTTGTTATCTACAAAAACTTTTTAAAAAAAGACTTTATTTTTCCTGAGGGGGGAAAGTTCCATTTACCTCAGCTTGGCTTTCGGGCTCTACCTCCCCCCCTTCTTTCTCCACTACATTCTTATTCTATGGAGAAAAAGTGGGGCTTTTTTTAACCGGTGTCACCGTTGCGGTAGTAAACTCGCACCACCTGACCACCACACCCTCTGTATTTTGTGTTTGGGAGAGTCTCACAGACCGCTCTCTTGCCAGCACTGTGCCATATTTTCAAACCAAACCCGAAAAAACAGAGCTGCGCGCCTCAAAGTGGCGCCCCTTGAATCGGCTCTAAATCCTTCCACAACGATCGATTCCGAGACCTTCAACATCGATGGCTCCGGTACTGAGGCCTGCCTTTGACATCGTTCAACCGACGCCAAAGCCTCCGGCATTGAAGGCGTAATCCTCCGCCTCAACACCAGTGAAGAAGAGACCCAAGACAAGTAAGGAGACGTCCGCAAAAAACGGTTCCTCTAAGCCCCTCAAAGCGGCAAAGAAGGTGAAGGTAGCGGCGTCCGCACTGGGTGATGCCCCTATTAGAGTCCCCCCCCCTCCATCAATATCA